AAAAGTTTTAATTTTTTTTCTTTTTCCCCACCAACGCGAGATAGTTGGTGCACGGCTTATTTACCACTCCCTCCCCCCTTTCGCTTCGCGTGTTTGCCAAACGGACGCTCGAAGCCTCGGGGCTATTGCGCGCACGAGAAAGCGAAGTTTATTCCCCACCGAGCCGCGAACTCTTTGAAGCACTCTCCCACGGCTCTTTTGTATGCCGCTGCAGTTTCCGTCCGCGTACGTGTGTTTGTACCGAGGCGCCCTACCGCCTAATTACATTTTTCCAGACCATCGGAGATCGAAGTCCCGTTTCTCCATCCCCCTCTCGGGTCGGCCTTTGCCTTCGTTCGCGGACTCGCAGACCAAGCATGATTTCGAATTTAACGCCCAGCTTGGCCTCCCCGCCGTGAATCAACGACTCGCGCCCTCCCTTACTTTTACTTTTTCTCTCTCCTGTGATGTTTCTTCCCTTGGGGCTTCCTCTTTTTATCTCACCTTGAGGATCGTTTTTTTTTTTCTTGTCCTCCTACGGAAATATTGTGTCAGAGAGTCTAAACAGGCAACACTTTAACTCTCAGCAACTCTGGTTATTGGGACGATCGCATTGTAATAGCTCTCTTATGTGAGGCTTTGGGAGTTTATCGTGGAATATCCAAGATATCCCGGGATAAGCAAGTTTTTCTTCCCGCTGATCGCTAATGAGTTTCGGGCCAACGGAAAAACCCATTGGCTGGGTCGCGTGTAAACGCAACTCCTAAAAAGTAACTGCAGTTGGAGGGGAGTTGGGCGTTGAAGGGCACTGATCGGGCGATGTTCAGGAAAAAATCTCCTATGTACGCACTTGGATGTGTAGTACGGAGTCGATCCGCACTCGAGGAGAGAACGAGCGATTGAACTCTGCGTCGCTTTCGCGTGCAAGTGCGGATACGCGGAAAATGTAGCGAACTGGGGGGGCTTCATCCTTGGGCTGCTTGGGCACTTTGCGAGGGAGGTGCATTAAAGTGCGCGTGTGTCTTGTTGCAGGGGGAAAACTTTGTAATATGAAAACAACTTTGGGCGAAACAGCTGGGCTCACGAGTGCGGAGCTTCGAAATCCTCCTCGGCGCGAGGAAAACTTTTTAGCCTCTGACCTGGAAACGTATTTTTCGCGCTCTGTCCCTTGTATACGGAGTGTGTTAAAAAGTGCCCGCTCCCCCTCTCTCTTGAGTGAGTTTTGAGTGGCAAAGTGAATCGGACTCGCTGTAATTTTTCGAGTAAGCAGGTGAAAGGTTATAGAGCATACGATTTGTTTCGATGTTTGTACCAAAGGAAATGAAGAGTTTCAATCGACGTGATACTTTTTGATGAAAAACCAAACGTCATACACACCAAGGGTGGTAAAATAATGCGCCATGCTGTTCGTCAATTGTACCTGGTATTGTATTATTAAAATTATAATTTTCCTAATGGCCAACCATCCACCTCTGATGTAAATTAGCTTAATTTATCATAATAATTACGACCGAGCATCGTACCGACATCTGAATTTAATGCACAAAGGACGAACGTTAATTAATCATAATTACATGGCTCGCTACATGTTATAAAAATTTGTTCACTACTGCTTATTAAGAGTTATCATGGACAATTCAGTGTAAATTATATTTCATAAAACTCATTGTTGTGACTCTAGCCCGTTTATTCGTTGTAGCATCATGATTTTTCAAGTTATTGACTACACATTTATTGGAGCGTTTGCTAATAACAAAAGAACTGTAAACAATATGTATATATAGTTTTTCGTTTTGGTAGTGTAATATGATTACACCACCAACAATGAACACAATGAATATCTTTGGATGCACACAAAAGTGTAGTAACGTGCTTTTCATTGTTTTGAATAAATTCAATTTCAGACAAAGTTCACCGGTTACCGAAAAATCAATCAATCAATCAACCAACACCGTCCCCTTCCCCGTATACCCACAGAGAGTCGCGCTAATACAAAAGCACGTACAAATACATCCCTTGATGCGATTGATTGAAATTTCCCCGTGTACTCGAGCTCGAAAAATAAAGACCGTCGAGCGCGAACTATATACATGGGCGACCTAAGGAATCACATGGCTGACGAGACATTGGAGTACACACACCGTGCACCCAGACAGGAGGAGGAGAGAGCGATAAAAAATTCCAATCGTCGAAATCCATCTCTCTCTCCCCCCGCCTGGTTAATCGCCTTATAGCTGCGCGACGCGCCATCCATAAAACACAAGCCTGCACATCAATCCGCATCAGCTTTCATTTTTTCGCTCCACCCCCCACCCCCCTTGCCTGGCAGAACGGTACACGGGATATGGGTAGAGTACGGAGCACGTTGGAAAAACCTCGAGCGAGGAGATGAAAAGGGACGCCTACGGTGTTATACGATTCCCTCCTCCTCCTCTGTCCATCTTTGGTAATTCCCGGGAACACCCACGCAATCCAAAGGGCACATACATACCGCGCGCATTTTAATCACGTCCCAAAGAGCGGATGAAAAACGTCGCTCGTAATAATCGAGTGATTATACGCCCCCCCCTCCCACCCGAGCTCCCGTTTCTTTTATCCTTTCTCCCCCTGCAGTGCGCGCGTGAAAAAAGCGTGAAAATAAGAAGGAAGGCGGGGGGGGGGGTCCGTTTGATGGAAATGATAAAAAGAGGGGAAAAAGAAGAGAGTGGGCAGTGTGACAGCGCGAGCAACGTAACGAGGTGCCGTGACCGAAGCGCCCCGGCCAGTAGGAAACGATTGGGGGGTGTGGGCAGGAAAAAGGGAAGACAATGAGGGTGCGAAAAAGAGAGAAGATTTAAATGTTTCCGGCTCCGCGGACGGAAAAGGGGGAGGGGGGTCTGGTTTTGGCTGCGAGTAAAAAGGCACACTAGCCGAGGCGAGAAAATCACGAGGATGGATGGGTGGAAAAAAATATATCCACGGGGTGCGTTGCAGCTCGAGAAATGGGGTTGTTCGCAGGTGCGCCACGCGGATAGGTCACGTAGATGAAATCGCTCGTGACGGCTTCGTGGAACGAGCTCGTACACGCGTGGGACTGATCTGGAGGTGGTGCCATGTATAGAGAGAGATGAGGAGCTTGAAGGACGACTCCAGCAGACATACCCGAGAACGAGACGGGCATTTGGACGGGAAAGCTTAGAGGAAACGAAAGTTGCTAACAATCTGGTGCATTTGTCGCGGAGCGAGGATTGCCGGTTGCGGAGAGATATGGAGTGGAATTGCAGCGAGTCTGCTTAGTTGCTGGGAATATTTTTATATTATTATGTGGATATTGAATGATCGGCAGTAGTGTGCATCTTTACGTATAGCTATATACGTTGCATCAGTTGGCTGGACCGATGATTTCGAGAATTGTGTGTGTTTTTGCCGTTGCTTGCACGAGGAAAAGAGAAATATACACCAACGGGTATAACGATTCGAGCATAGTTGAATTTTCATGCTTTTTCAAGTGAAAAACTCATTCGTGGGATATTACGTGTTTGAACAACCGAGTTCGAGTTTGAATAAGCGGTTTTATTGAACTTTTGGAGCTGAAATATTGAAAAATTCTAGTATCTTTCGTACGCGGGCCAAAAAAATTGGTTTTTCAATAAAATGGCTATCGAAATCGTAAAATGGATAAATAGTAGCAAAAAAAAAAAAAATCTTAAAATTGCAGAGAGTGCCGTGTGTTCTACACCGTTTTGTTTAAAAAATAACGTGTAAATATTCATCCACTCTTTCATTCGACAAAAAAAGAGATTTCACTGGACGGGTGATGAAAAAAGGCAAAAACCAAATTCCACTCATTCGGAAAATTCCTCGGATTTTCCCAAGCGTCCAGTGTTATATTCGTAGAATTTCATAAGCTGTGGTTGCGTACCAAACTCTGCACTCCCATAAAACGACTGTGTACAGCACAGAGCAGGCCCGAGTGTTCCATCGTTAGACGAAGACGGGAAAAAAGGCTCCCTTGAGAGTTGAGTGGCACTTTTTCACGGTCGACATTTTTTCATTTGCAATGCTACAAACGCAGGTCTTGAATACTTGATTGTATTTATCTGTAACGTTGATAATGAGTTTCTATTAAACTCGCTCGCTTCTTTGAAACTTTGTTCTTACTTTTCTAGCAATTAAAGATAATGACCAAAAGTTTTCTTTTCCAACTATGGCTTTTCCTTATTCCAACTTGTCCCGTGGCTTTCCTCTATTATACACTTTCAGTGTTCTTTTAATTTACCTTTGAAAAAAAAAAAAAAAAAAAAAAAAAAGAAAAGAAAAAGAAATACGAATATATAAATAAAAATAAGCACATAAATCTCGTATCCCAATTGAGTTACAAGCAAAAGTTATTTTTTTAAACACAAAAATCACTCCTATACCCCCTTCGGCTGCCGCCAGACGCGTCAACTTTTTAATAAAACGCATCAATCCGACCCCGAGAGCACGTATACGCGAATACACACCCCCGCGAGCTCTCGGAAACTTGGAGAGCGAGCAGGCAACGCGAGAATTGATGAATTTATTTGCCGCACGACGGGAACAGGCGCGTCGATGTGAGATATTTTTTCCATTCATCGGCACCTCGTCATGCACTACAGACGTGTGTCCTGGGAATGAGATCGCGGAGCTCTATTTTTAATTAAAAAGACCTCGCGATCGAACGATGCTCGTGTTCTTTTAAAAGGAAGGGAAGAGAGATAGAGATAGAGAGTGGCAACACTCTGGGTCAAAGTGTGATTATGCCGCGCTTTTAGATGGAATTGCGCGGCGAGGCGAATTGCAACGTAAAACGAAAGTTGATGAGACGGGGTGAAGTAATTTTATGGCACCGCGTGAAGCTGATGGCTGATGAGCCGTACACAGGCGTGACTCGATTATGTGCCATCGGGCTTGCGATGGCGCGGTGTCTATTACTTTGGGAACTTAAATCCATCAGAAGCGCAACTTGTTTGAGTTGTTGCACGTGTGCGATAAAAAATTTTACATGATTTTAGAGGTACCTTTTTGACGTAGTCCCAGCACAAGTGATTATATTTTGTTCTCCCGCAGCATCTTCAAAGTCATCTGAAACAAAAAATGTAATACTAGATTTTAATTGCCTATTCGTTGAAATTTAACACAATTTTACAGTACTTTTGCATTATGGGAATCTCGCTCGTACATTACATTCAAACTCATTTAAAAAAAAATCCATTCGAAAATGACAAAAAAATTCTCATGGAATATAATACATCGGTGCATTACTGCGAGTGGCAAGTGCTTTCAATGTTCAATGAATATTAACGCGTTCTCTTTTCGTTGGCGCTACAACTCCATTCACCGATAAATATGAGTTATTGGAGGGAAAAGAGGAGGGAGGAAAAAAAGTAACTCGTGACGCGCAAAAAAGCAGCATTCAGTTGTCCATTAGAGCCCCACCTTGAGAGCTTTTCTCGTCACCAGAGTGCCACTTTTGTAGCGATTCAAAAGCGCGAATAAAACGCAGAAGTGAGAGGAATGTTTAAACACGCTGATATAATCGTCCCTCAACGGCTATCAGCGCTACGGACGTGCAGACTAGTCTTCCCCGTCAAAGTGTCTCGACTGCTACGGATGATCCGAAGCTGCCACACGCAAGTTGTGAAACCTTAATCCGATCACTCGAAAGCTCGGTACCCTCGTGCCTTTCCTATAACTGGGTGAATGTATTTTTGCTTCTGACATCATAAAAAATTGATCCTTTTTTTTCCACTCACTGCTAGAGTTACCTCCCGGTGTGCGCCCGTCGAGTCACTCATTCTCCGCGCTTGGCTTTTCCACTCCTATCCAGCCCGGTTCCGTACAACTGCACGCCACTGCCTGTCGATAATTCCACGGAAACTCTCGACAGTTCGCGCGCTCCCTTTTTTCCGAAGCTGTAGGCGTACTCATTCGTCTGTTTTTTTTTTT